TCTCTACATCTACTTCCCTCCCTTCCTTTCTCCCTCCACCCCCCTCCCATACTCCCTCCCTCCCATCCTCTCTCTCTCTCTCCCTTTTCCTCCCGCCCTCCTTTCCTCCCTCCCACTCTCCCTTCCTCCCTCCCTCTCTGTCCCTTTTTCCCTCCCTCCCTCCCTTCCTCCTTCTCTCTCCCTCTCCCTCCCTCCCTTCCTCCCTCCCTCTCCCTCCCCCTCCCCCTCCCTCCCATCCTCCCTTCCTCTCCCTCCTTCCCTCCCACCCTCCCTTCCATCCTTCCTCCCTTCCTCTCCCTCCCTCTCTCTCCTTCTCCTTCCCTCCCTTCTTCCCTCCCTCTCCCTCTCCCTCTCCCTCCTTCTCTCCCTTCCTCCCTCCCTCTCTTTCCCTCTCCCTCCTTCCCTCCTTCTCTCTCCCTCCTTTCCTCCCTCCCCCCTCCCTCCCACCCTCCCTTCTTCCCATTCTCTTTCATTCTTTCTTTCTCTTTCGCAACTGTCCTTGACCAACCGTTTCCCTTCTTCCTTTGTTTTTCAAAATCTTATCCCCTTTTCTTTTGCGCTTCTGTTCTTCTTGTTCTTTTCTTCTCGTGTAGCTTCTTCCCTCTTTTATTCCTTCTTTCTTTGTCTCCTTCGTAATTTTTTTTTTATGGACGGTGACGTCATGGCTCACCATCAAGGACGTTTATTATATATCAAAATTTATTATTAAAATCACCGCAATCAATTTTGTCAATGATTGATTATTAAATTTCATTAATTATTAATTTTTTAACTAAATTATTAATTACTAGATTTTAAAATAAATTATTAATTATCAAATTTTAAATTTTACTGTTATTGATTTTTTTCTCATATTAACACTATTTCCATGATAATGATATGAGTGTAATAGTAATGATATAAATATAATAATGATAATAAGAATAATGATAAAAGCAATGATGATAATAATGATAAAAGCAATGATGATAATAATGATAAAAGCAATGATGATAATAATGATAAAAGCAATGATGATAATAATGATAAAAGCAATGATTATGATAATGATCATAGACATAGAAATCATAATAATGAAAAGTAATGATAATAATAACGAGGAAAAAATAAAAGTAACATAAATAGTAGTAATAACGACAAAAATTATAATGATAATCATAATTGTAATAACAATAATTGATATAATTATTATCATTATCATTATTATTATTACTATTATCCTCTTCATCATTATGATAATAGTAATAAAAAAACAATAATGATAATAATAATAATAATAATAATAATAATAATAATAATAATAATAATGATAATGATGATGATGATCATGACAATAATAATAATATTATTATTATTATTATTATTATTAAAATAATGAAATGATAATAAAATAAAAAGGTAATAATAAAATAATAATCAAATCTATGACAATATAAAATAATAATGAAAAAACAATAACAAAAAAATGATAAAATTTATAGTAATATAAAATAATAATGAAAATAATAATAATAACAATGATAATTACATCGGTGATAATAATGATAATTACAATGATAATAGTATTATCATTTTATTATTATCATTATTATTAGTAATAATAATAAATGATAATAATAATAATGATAATAATGATGATGATGATGATAATAATCATAATATTAATGCTAATAATAATGATAATAATAATAATAGTAATGATAATAATATTGAGAACAATGATAATGATAGTGATGATAATGATAGTAATAACAATAACAATGATAATGATAATGGTGATAATTATAATGATGATACTACTACTACTAATAATAATATCAATGATAATAACAATAATCATGATTACAATAACAGAAAAACAATAGCAATAATGATAATGATATCAGTAACAATAATAATAATAATAATAACAATAATAATAATAATAATAATAACAATAGTAGTAGTAGTAGTAGTAGTAATGATAATAATAATAATAATAATAATAATAATAATAATAATAATAGTAATAATAATAATAATAATAATAATAATAATAATAATAATAATAGTAAGAATAATAATGATAGTAATAATAACAATAACAATAATAATAATAATAATGATGATGATACTACTAATAGTAGTAATAGTAATAATAATAACAAAAACAACAACAATGATAATAATAATAATAGTAATAATAATAATAGTAATAATAA